CTCACTTCCTCATTTGATGCTGATTTAATCCATCTTACCTGAGCAATTGTGCTTATAACCTTATTAGTTGACTTGTCGTTTTGTCCCACCTCATGCCCACCTTGTGACTTCCCATGTTTTCCAACCTGGGACCCCCCCTAGTGTCATGGATTTTGCTCTGTAAAAATCTTTAGAAAAGACAGGGTCCTCGCCAACCCACTGTGGTCCCCTTTTGTCTCTCTCTCGGACAGAAGCTTTCTTTCCCCCAGTAAATAAATTCTGCTCTTAACCTCTGTTGTTCCTAAAATTCGTTCTCCGATGTTAGAGAACATGAACTCGCGCCCTATATCTAGCAGGTTGAGAGTGTCTTTCCCCCCTTTATATTACCACCTCCATCGATACTATGTTGAAGCCACCGGAGCAGGTTGGCTTTCCCACGGGGGCTCAGCCTTGATTTCAGAGGGGCACATTTTTGAGTTTTCCTCACAAGCTTTTGAGAGTGGAAGATGAAGAATTTGGGGAAGCCCCACAGGGAGCAGAGTGTCGAAAGGGGCCTCCAGAGGCAGGTGCCAGGGGTCAAGGCAGGTGAAGGCTATGGCCAACTGTGGGGATATGGGAGGAAGTATCTCAGGCGTCCCTCAGAGAAGCGTCTGCAGCCCCCGTATTGCACACCTGGTCCCCCCTTTAAAAAATTAGCCCATGTGACTTACACATGTGAATCAGTGTGGTGGTTCCATTCCTGCACACGGCATGAGCTGGTTAAATACATGCTGTCCTTTGCACTGCCTGCCCTGCACCTTAATTCCTGGCCATCACTGTTCTACTTTCAGATTGACTTTCTTCTTAGTTTCCATGTATGAGAGAGCATGTGTCTCTTGTCTTTCTGTGTCTGGCTTTTGTAGCTTAACATAATGTCTTACAGTGTCATCCAGTTTTCTGCAGATGTCAGGAATTCTTTTTTTTGGCTGAATAATAATGTCCTTTGTGTGCATATACATCACATGCTCTTTATCCACCCATCTGCTCGCTGGGGTAGTGCACTCCATGCCTTAGCTAGTGTGCATGTCACCTCCATAAATATGAAGTCCCTGCCTTGCTGAGGGCTGAATGTTTGATGGTGTGTGTGGCGGTAGTAGGTGCAGGGGGAGTGGCACAGTGGCAGACCCTGGTCCAGCTTCTAACAGGGCAGCTTTTATGGGACGTTAGGGTGGGAGTCCTTTAGTGCCCCTTCCCCGCCCTCCCCCAAATACTAATATAAATCAGCGCCCGCAACAGAACATTGACTGAAAGAGTAGCAGGAAGATCCAGAGGGGAAGGGGACGTGGATGGTTTACTCTTCTCGCATGTTCAGGTTTTTGCTCAAAAGCCACCTTCCCAGAGGGGCCGCCCTGTGCATCTCAATCCGGGGAACCCGCAGTCTTTATGTTTAATCACAGGCTTGCTTGTGTGAAATGCTAATGTCTCCCGGCACAAAGCTGCCGTGTGGAGGTGGCTGTGTGGACTGCAAATGTGACTTATTCTTCCTCGTAATAGTATCATTACCCCGAACATCTTATTTTTCAGTCCATTGTTGGTTAGCTTATTCGGCTTGGCTAGTTCCTCGGGGCCTCTCTCTAAGGAAAAATTCATGAGGATGTAGGACTTGGCTCTTTTGTATTGCTAGGACCCAGAGCAGCTCTGGTAGACAGTTGATGCTTAATTAAAAATTTACTAAGTACAAGAGAGACGGCAGGCTGTCTTCAGAGAAAGTGTTAACAACAGTGAAAAGAGAGCGTGGCTTTCCAGCATTACTCTGTAATAGGACAGGGAGCTTTGGGGTCCTGTGCACCCTAAATCCTTCTAAGGTGGGGTTTCTCAGCTGCAGCACTGTTGATACTTAGTCTAGCTATGTCTGTCCTATGCTTTGTGGGGTGCAGAGCATCGCCCTTTATCTCCATCCACAAGAGACGCCAGCAGACCCGCCCACCCTGATGCGACATAAAAATGCCCATTGCCACATGCCCAGGGGAGGGGTACAGAATGCCCAGTGGGCCGGAAGCCGCTATCCTAGATTAAAAGCAGGGTCCCTACCAGCTCCATCTTACAGAACGGGCCCCACTTGAATATGCAGTTGCAGCTTGGTACCTGTGAACGCTGTGCACTTCTCCCGTAATGAAGCGGCTCCCTTTCTGTCTCTTTCCCCTTGTTCTGCATCAAGCACACTGTAAGAGGCACAAAGACAAAGGGAGGCATGTCAGCAGCCACGCATTCATAGTGAGATGCATCTTTTGTGGTGCTGTGACTCCTCAGATGTCAGCGGGAGGCGTAGAGTTAGAAATAATTAAAGCACATAAACAAACGGAGCCGAGACTCTGTGGCCTGTGGCACATCACACAGACACCAGCTGTCGCTTGGGAGTGGCTCGGGGGGAGGGTTCTGCCGGGGGCCGGGGTCTGGCTTGAGTGGAGCTCTGCTGTGCCCAGGCTTCTGTCCATCTGTAGTGCCGGCCTTGACCATGACGCAGCATGGTGGCTGCCCCTGTGGACAGGAGCGTGGGCCTCAGGCTCTGCAGAGGACCTGAGGGTGGACGGATGGGCAGCATCCAGCAGGGCCGGGGGCTGCTTTCTTCCTTTTTAATGAAGGTAAAATGAGATATTGGCACCCTTATTAAAGTGTACTACGGAGGATGTGCAATAAAGGGCTGGGACGATACCAAGGCTGCAGAGGAGCAAGAGCCCCCGAAGTAGGGCCTGCGTCCTCACTGTGAGCTTCTACGGCAAGCAGGGAGGGGAAAGCAGTTGAAGGGAGGAGAGGGCATTTGGAGAAAAAGAAGAATCCACATACATCACATACAGGTACACATTCCCTATGATGAATGTGATCATTGTGTGTATCTAAAATGTACCAAGGAACTTCATTTAAAAAATTTGAAAAATCATTCACAGCAAGACCTCAGTTCATGAACGCTTTTGTTTGCAAAGAATTTGTCTGACAGACAAAAGCATTCGGCAGGATTTAGCTTCTGCTTGCAAGCTCTGCATTGGAGGATGAACACAAGCACGGCCACCGTCCCTAGGCAGATACAATTGCAGCAGTCTCCCCTAAATTGTGAAACAAATTAAGTTCCTAAGCTGAGGGACCACTGTAGTTGGAAAGAAAGAGTAAAACAAGGTCTCTGAATCATTAGATTCCCTTTTTTGTCCCTGGTTATCATGGCCATAAGAGAGCAAGGAGAGGTATGTGTGTATTTGTGTGTGTGCGTGTGTGTGTGTGATTGTGTGGTATGGTGTATGTATATATGTTTGTGGGATACTATGTGTATACCTGTGTGTATGTATGTGTTGTATGGTGTGTGTGCCGCACCGCATATGTGTGTAGCAGGTATTGTATGCATATGTGGTTTGTATATGTAGTACGTAGTGTATATATGTATATTTGTGTGTGTCTATGTGTGTGTGTGTGTAGGACACATCTTGGCATACTTGTTCTAAAACTCCTTCATGAAAGAAACCCCCAAAAGCAGTGTTTGTATTTTCTTGTAGATAGCTACATTGCTGTGATTTGATTTTTTTTTTTTTTTTTAATGTATTTGGTACAGGATCTCACTTCACAGCTCAGACTCGTAGTGATTCTCCTGCTTGCAGCCTCTCCAGTGCTGGAATTACAGGCATGCGCCACCACGCTGGGTCTCACTGGTCAGCTCAGGGCACCAGGGGGCGGGGCCGGCACGGCCTGTGGTGCTGAGGATAGAATGCTGGTCCCTGTGCTTGCTTGAGCAGGTACTTAGTCTTCTGAGCTATCTCGCTGGCCCAGTGATTTGATTTCAAGCTTTCTGTCTTATATCAGTGCCATGTACTTCAAATGGAAACTCCTGTTTGTTTGGGGCTATCTCCCAAGTGCTACAGCCTATGTGTTTGCATCCCTTCAAAAAGCACCTGTTGAAACCCCAACCTCCAGTGCAGTTTTAGCACCCCTTGGGGGGGGTGGGTAGGTCATGAGGGTGCAGTCCTCCCCCAGTAAGGGCAGTGTTCCAGTAAAGGACCCCTGAAGCCCCTTGTCCTTCCACCTTGTGGGCACATAGCCAGAGGTGCTATTTGGAAGCAAGCGAGCCTCACCAAACATGGGAGCTGTGGGGTGGTGTTGAATTTCTGTCGCTCTAACCTACAGTATTTTCTCCTCCCACCCTGGGTAGGCCACGACATCTGGCTTCTAAGAAGCACCTGCTGTCATTTGCCCATGAAATGATGCACACCATCCATCGCTGTTAGCTTTGAGGTCCTTGGAGGATGGTGGAGATGCTTGTGTAGTTGCTTGAGTCCCTCCGCGCCTTGCCCCCAGGGAGAGCGTGTGCACCACCTTAGACTGCAAGGCTGGGCTGGCCTCCCAAGTCTTTGGGAGAGAAGCTCATGGCCCATTGCGGTTAACTGGGGTGGAGCTAAGAGCTGGGACTTGGTCTCCTTCACCAAGTATCCACGAAGTCAGCGGTTGATAAATATTTGTTAAATAAATGCCATGGATAAGTGCTTCGCTCAAGCAGTGTGAGTTAGTCAAGCTTAGCTAGTTAGGAGTTCTGGATATAACAGAGTGTGGATGTGCTTCGCAGCTCTCACTGTTCGGGTCTCCTCCTCTGATCTCATGAGGAACACGAAGATGGCAGCTTCCTGGACATGGTGTCCTTGCAAGGACCCAGGATCGCAGGCATCTCTAATAGACCAGGAGCTAGGTGCATTAACCAGTGACCTTGCAGGGATGAGTGTGTATTAGGATTTGGTGTGCAGCCCTGAATCTTGCCCAGGATGTGTTTGTTTTCTACTTTTAGGGTCAGCACCAACTCCTCAGTTTTTGGGAACCCTGAACATCTTGCACCCTCAAAGCTTGTCATCTTCCTAATGGTCCCTCCTGGCCTGAAAGCTGGGTCAGCACAGGGGCCAGCCTTGCCCTGGTGTTCTTGGGAGATGTAAGCCAGTGGCCTCAGGGGCCAGAGGGATGTGGGACTGAGAGGCATGCAGCTACTCTAGTGACACTACTGTTTCTTGTTTCAGGGTGCAGCAGAGGACCCCCAGATGGCCCTGGCACTGAACTTAGACTCTACACTGATGAAGAAGAAGTCAGATCCTGAGGGCCCAATGCTGCTGTTCCCTGAGAGCGAACTCTCCATCCGGATAGGTAGCACTGGGCAGCTTTCAGGCAAGCTCCCTGCCACAGATGCCAGGCTGAGCCCGATAGCACGCACTTGGGGCTGATGGGAGAAGGATGGGGGCGATGTGGGGTGCTCTGCCTGCTCCCCTGTTGGTCACCCCACTGCTGCCTAGAGCTCAACTCCTGCTCTGGCTGGGTGCCTTTTTTTCTCATCTGCTCTTGAAACCATTTGCTTAGTGTACAGGCAGAAGTGTCACCTTTTGATCCTCTTTCCAAGTTGGACAGGGTCTCTCTGTTGGGCCTGGGGCCAGTCTGGGTTAGAGTGTGGCCATTTGTGTCCCCATGTTCCCCTCTCTGATGAGCTTTGAGTGCCTTTTTTAAATTGATGTGAGTCTCACCTTTTTGATTTGTCTGAAAGCTGGGAAACTGTGGAGAGGTCTGCCAGTGATTCTGTTTAGGGCTAGAAAAACTGAAGACACTGACAGCTGAGTAATGCCTTCTCCCTTGCATTAGCGGAAGTATGTCTCCAGGAAGGAATCAGGTAGCAGTTTCTCAGGCTCAGGGGGACAGCCAGAGCCTGGGCTGCTGCTCTTTGAGAAGCTGCTGATGTCATGGAATGCGTTGTTTCCAAGGCTCAGGGGCTGACTCCTCCCTCTTGCACCCAGGCACTGTCCCTGAGGACATCTGGCCCCCTCAGGGGCTGGGGGGCATCAGGAGCGTCACCTGGCTGTCTTTTCCTTGAATTTGTGTAGGGAGTCCTAGCCTGAGGCCCCTGGCTGTCCCACTTCTGTAGAGGAAGCCCTAGGAATAGAAACCAGGATGGCACAACCAGGCTCCTCCCTGCTTACACGGGGTCAGCTTTGGAGAGAATGCGTTGGTACCTGACACAGCTTCGCAGGAGTGACCAAAGGGGTACTGCTTCTTCTCTGTGCCCACGTCGGCTATCTCTAGGCTGACATTGTCTCCAGCCCTTGGGAGAGCGATAGCCAAGCCACAGCCCAAACTCAGTGTTCTGTGTTCAGGTTCTGCCCTCTGGATGCCATTCATGGAGCACGTGAGCATCTTATCCACACCCATGCCTCCTCTCTGCCCTCCATGATTTCCCATGTGGGCTGTCACTGGGAATAAAAAATGCCACATACGCGCATTAACACCACACACTCCCCCCTGCCTCAGTCATGCGTCTTGCTCCTATGTGAAGCAGAACAGCTGAGCCAGTGCCTACTGTGCTCCGTTCCCCAGAGTGCTGTCGAGCTCCATTCCTGGAGGTGCAGGGGTGGGCAGGGGGGCACTGTGCGTCCACAGATCTTGCTGTTTCCCATGCTAAATGCTGGACCCACAGGCACAGGGGCCTTCCAGGGGATCCCACTAGCGATACTGTGTGTGGTTTTGCGCACGTGCGCCCTAAGACTTTGCAGTTTTGGTGCTGAGCCTTGTGGAGGAGGACAAAGATGGCCAGACTTTGCTCGGTCCAGTCGTTTACCTTTAAAGCTGCTGAAGTGGGGATGGGGGAAGAATTCCATGTCGGTCCATCAAAAGAAGTGGAAAGTGGTCATCTTGTCAATGGGCCTTTTCCAGTGGCAAGGTTCCGGCCAGGAGCTGGTGCTGCAGCAGGGCCCGGCGGGTGCTGGGTCTCCACTGGGCAACCTGGGGTTAAGTGGTGAGGGGAGAGCATGGGAGGCAGTGGTAGAGCCTGCCCTCCTGTACCCCAGGTGCCCCGGTGGTTGCTAGGTTACCAAGCAACCCTCTTAGCTGTTGCTAACTGCTCAACCCCAACTGGGCTCTCTGGGAGTGAGAAGGTGGTTTGCCGGCCCAGGAGTGCCTGGCTGTCGCACCTCACCTGGCCGCACCTGTGGGTGGCAGGCATCTGAGGACTCGCAAGCTGATAATGGGTATTTGATGACTGCCCTCATGCAGATCCAGCCTGAATATGCACTATTTGTACCATCTGGATTTGCCCTTAAGCTCTCTGTAACCGGAACGAGGAGATTGGTTTAATAGGTATTTGGTGGGAAACAGCCTTTAAAAAATAATATTGGTGCGGCTGTTATGTTGGCTCATAATTGGTGCAGCAAGAGGAGAAGGCTGAAAAGCCACACGCAGGAGGGAAGTACAGCTGCCCTGAGCAGCCGAGCTGGGAAAAGCGTTTATGAGATCCCTTCCTATTTATGTCTTGTGCCAAATGTTCTACGATATCAGCTATTCTCAAGGCTGGGGATATTTGGGGACTTGGCTAGGTCAAAAGTCCTTTTAAAACTGTCAGTCTCTCTTTCCGTCCCTCTTCCTCCTTCCCACCCATACCAACCAGCTTTCCTTTGATTCAAACATAATAACAATTAAAAATAGAAAGTAATTTTTCTTCCAACTTAAAATCCCTAGCGGTTTAGCCTCCCATCTTGGCCATGAACACTGTGTCTAGTTTCTTATGTTTTAGAAATATTATGTACTTTAGAAATACAATGTTTTGAAAACTTTTAGAAATATTATGTTTGTGCAATCATACCAGACTCATTGTTTTGTACCTTGAGGTTTTGCACTTGAAAGTACATGTTTGTGTGGGACACTCCTAGATCATCTACCTCATTCTTTGTGTGTGTGTGCGTGTGTGTGTGTGTGTGTGTGTGTGTGTGTGTGTGTATGTGGTGCTGCAGATTGAACCTGGGTCCCATGGCTTTTACACTACCCTACCTCCACAGCCCTTTCTAAAATTTTTAAATTTTGAAACAGGATCTCAGTAAGGCACTAAGTTGCCCAGGCTCAGCTCAAACTTGTGACCCTCCTGCCTCAGCCTCCCAGATTGCTAGGTCAGCTGGGATTACGCTCCCGTGCCCAGCTCTCCCTCTTATTGCCTGTGATGCTGCATCCCCCTCCATGGGTCTTTGGATTAATTTCAGTCTTTTGCTATCATGCAGGCTGCAGCAGAGAGCCTTTTACTACGTTCATCTTGGTGGATAATGACCTTGTTGACTACATTCTAGAAATTAAACCGGGGGCTGTCTGCGTCTTTGGCCCACGTGCGTGCACATATCTGCCTGAGGAAAGCAAAAGGCTCCAGGCTCCGTATGGCTCCGTGACTCCACGCGCTCCAGCTCTTGGCCTTGTCCGCCTCACCTGCCCCCATTCTCCCAAGCCAGACTACTTTTGTCCCTCACTGGCTCCCCCTTCAGGCTAAAGAGGAGCTCGCCTCGCTCCTTCCCTTCTGGCCTGCAGTCTGTGACCTTGAGTTCCTCCAGCGGGAATAAAGCTGAGCAGCTATTAAGATGGGCCATGCTAGATTTTGTGCACGAAGAGCACAGGGCTCAATAATAACACTTCTAATTGCCAGGAGCGCTTTCGCATCGCGGGAGTTAGGAGAGGCACACACACCCTCCTGGGCAGGGCGCAGCGCCGACAGCACAGGCTGTCCGCCCTGGCTCCTGAGCTGCTGCCAGGCAGATGCAGTTTATAGATTTTTAGCTTTTGAAGAGTCTTATATTTATCTTAGCATTCAAGTAGCACTTTCCCCGTTTCTTGGTCTTTTCTCTTTCCTGGCGGGGGGGGGGGGGGGGGGGGGTAGTCCTGATTTTCTGACGAGGCAGGCATTTCGAGGCCTAGCTTTATGAGGCTGGGGCTGGAGGCAATTTGGCATGTGTGACACGCGCTTGCTTATGCTGAGGTAACAAAAACCCACGCACTGGGAGGCCCGAGGAGCGAGAAGTGGCCTCTCACAGCTCTGGAGGCTGTGAGTCTGAGATGCTTCATCGGCGGGGTCGTTTTTGGAGGTTTCTTTCATGGGCCTGCAGGTGCTGGCTTGTCCCTGTCTCCATGTCGTTGTCTCTCTGTATGACAGGGGCCCAATGACAGTGGCCCAATCTCCCTTTCTTATAAGGATGCCAGTCATGTGGGATGAGGACCTCACTGAAGCTGATGTATCAGGATCCCGTCTTGCAGTATACTTGCTCTCTACAAGGCAAGGCATTAGAACTCAACAGATAAACTCAGGCAGTGGAGGGGAGTCTAAATTCAGCCCACCATAGCACTGAACCATATATATATATATATTTTTTTAATTTAAAAAAATCTTTTGTTCATTTATTTATTTATTTATTTGGCAAAGGGTCTCACTACTCAGCTCGCACTCGTGGAGATCCTCTTGTCTCAGCCTCTCCAGCACTGGGATTACCAGCATGTACCACCACACCCGGTTTGGAGGCCGGAACGGCATGTGGTACCGGCATGCAGTACTGGGGAACGAACCCGGGTTCTTGCGTTTGCCAGGCAGGCGCTTAGACCGCTGAGCTATCTCCCCAGCCCCTGCCCCATATTTTTTCAAGTGTCATCCTCCCACGTACTCTACTAAAGGAGACCCAGCCAATGAGGATCTGCTTTTCTTTGTGCTTCCCACTATGTTGAGGTTTAGCGTTAAAGCGTCCCTCTAAAGTCTCATCTGAGGGCCGGGGAGATGGCTCAGTGGAATAAGCACTTGCCTGGCAAGCGCAAGGGCCTGAGTTCAATCCCCGGTTCGTCCGGCTAGATGGGCCGGGTTGGAGCTGCGTCACTGAGCACGTGACCCGGAGGGCTGTGTTCTGGTCTCTGGCTCCTCCCGCCTTTCTGCCAGGCTCTTCCACCACGTCATTCTACCCTGGAGCCAGCTAACCCATGAGCTGAAAATGTGAAGGAAAATAAACCTCTCCTCTTTCTCCTCTGTTATAAATATTGGGTATTTTGTCCCAGATGAGAAAATGACCACAGCTTACCGTTTTCAGCTCTCGTTAGCCTCCTGCCTGGTCAGGCTGAGGAAGCAGGATGGAACCAGGTAGAATAAAGTTGGAATGTTACTCCGATAGCAGGCAACCAGGAGGAAGTCTGAGGGGTTTGGGTGTGATTGTGTGAGACCCCAGGGCAGGTATCCAGCCTCAGTTAATGAAAGGAAAGGGTGACCCAGGCTCTCCACTCTCACCGTCCCTGACACGGTGGGCTCCAGCATCTCTGGGGAGATTAGTATGACTCCATACTTGGATGTGCAGAAGTGCTGTCCTCCTGAACATGTTTTCTTGCTCTTGTCACCA